GGTTTTAAATCTATTTTCTTAGCTATAGATTTGTCGGTATACTCCATTTTCATATAATCTATATTTTTCTCCCTAATTATCTGTTCGTCTTTCTGTCTATCCATTCCTCCACTTGTCTGAATATCTTTCGGGTATCTATCGGCTATTTTCTATCCCCTTTCTATTTCTCTTGCCTCATATAGTATAAACTCTAATATATAACCATATAACACTATAAAATTAAACTAAAATATACAATACATTATATCACAGAAACTCTAATATATAACCATATATCACACTATAAAAAATAAACTATAATATACAATATATCACATTATATCACAGAAACTCTAATATATAACCATACATCACTCCATACAACACAAACTATACGTAACCGTATGTCACATTATAAAAAACATATGATATATAAAACATAAACTTTCTCGTAATTTCTCACTGGTATGTCACTGTTTCGGAAATAATTTTGACGTTGTATTTCTGTACAGAAGTTTTATTCTGATCCAGAGGGGGGGCCGTCCAGCACCCTGTGGGGAGGTGGGGGGGGTGGATAAATCACTTTATATTATAATATAAGAAGAATCAATATTATTGTTATTTTGAATATCGTCGTTTTCATTATTATCGTTTGTTGTTATTCTAAAGTTGTTATTATTAATAGCTTTGTCATTACCATTGTTGTTATAATTGTTGTGTTTATCATCATCATTATAACCATTATTATAACCATAACATTGATCTTTGTTATCAATATTGTTTTCTTTATAAACGTTGCGATTACTTAAATCATTTACGCTTTCCTGCTACTCCATCATCATCATAATAATAAAAATAATGATAATAATAATGATAGGAATAATAATGATAATAATAATAATCATCATCATCATCATAATAATTAATGATAATAATAATAATAATAATAATAATAATAATAATAATAATAATAGTGACAGCAATAATAATCATAACAATAACAATAATATTAAAGATGATAATAACAATAACAATGATAATCTGAGAATGATAAGGAGGAGGAAGAGCGAGAGGAAGAGGTGGAGGGAGAGGAGAAGGAGGAAGAGGAGGAAGAGGAGGAAGAGGAGGAGGAGGAGGAGGAGGAGGAGGAGGAGGAGGAGGAGGAGGAGGAGGAGGAAGAGGAGAAGAGGAGAAGGAGGAGGAGGAGGAGGAGGAGGAGGAGGAGGAAGAGGGAGATGAAGAGGTGGAGGGAGAAGAGAAGGAGGAAGAGGAAAAGGAGGAGGGAGAGGAGGAGGAGGAGGAGAAGGAGGAGGAAGAGGGAGAGGAAGAGATGGAGGAAGAAGAGAAGGAGGAAGAGGAGGAGGAGGAGGAGGAAGAGGGAGAGGAAGAGGTGAAGGGAGAAGAGAAGAAGAAAGAGGAAGAGGAGGAGGAGGAGGAAGAGGAAAAGGAGAAGGAGAAGAGGAGAAGAAAGAGGAAGAAGAAGAGCAACAGCGAAAAGAAGCTTCCAGAGTCGCCTCACCAACGAGCCCCTTAAACTGGCAGATGGCGTAGGTTGTCACGTTGAAGAGCGAGGTCGGAGTGAAGGCCCAGGCGTCGGAGTCCCTCTCCACCGTCAGGAGGCGCCCGGTGAGGCCCTCGAGAGACAGCGGATCGCCCGTCGAGCTGTTGGCCGCCGCGAGCAAGTCGTCTGAGATCGTGTACGTGCCTCCGAGGGTTGGGTCGTCCCACCTTCGGGAGAGAGAGAGAGGGAGGGGTGAGTGAAGGGGGAAAGGGGGTGGAGTGAAGGAGGGTGGGGGGAGAGGTGGAGTGAAGGGAGGAGGGGGAGGAATTGGGGGAATGGAGGGGGAAGAGGAAAGTGAAGGAGGGAGGGGAGAGTGGAGGGGGGAGTGGAGGGAGGAAGAGTAAGTGGAGGAGGGAGGGGGGAGAGGAGAGTGAAGGGGGGGGATGTGAGAGACAAAGACAGACAGACAGGCAGGCAGACAAACAGACAGACAAACAGACAGATAGAGAAAGCAGCATGGACAACTTACTCAAAGCTGATTCCTAGGGCCAAATTTGCTTGCGTGGTCCCGTTGGCCCAGCTGACCGATGTCTGAAATCAAGAATGAAGTTGTAATATGTAATAATGATAAATAAATTGATAATTACTACTACTACAGTTACAGTAACAACAACAATGATGATGATGATGATGATAATAATAATAATAATAATAATAATAATAATAATAATAATAATAATAATAATAATAATAATAATAATAATAATAATAATAATAATGATAATAATAATAATAATAATAATAATAATGACAATAATGATAAACATAATAATAATAATGATGATAATGATAATAATAATAATAACAATAAAAATAATAATAACAATAATGATGATAATGATACTACTACTACTACTACTAATAATAATAATAATAATAATAATAATAATAATAATAATTATAATAATAAAAAATGATAATGATACTTATCAGTCAATTAACGATTCGACAAACCCTAATATGGTACCAATTAGTTCATACAAAAAAATTAGTAAAAATTAGTTATACATAAGTGTGACAAACGTAGAAATGGAAAGAAAAAGAATGAATATCTTCATAACGCAAAATATTTAATCATTATGTATAACAGCTGCTACTTTTTTCTATACAAGAACAGTTGAAAAACGAGTTATTCAGAACAATTTATTCGAAACGAGTCATCCATATCAAGTTATTTAGGACCTATCAAACAAAACGAGTTAATCAAAACCTATCAAATACAAGAAATCATTCAAAACGAATCATACAAAGCGAATCAAGCAAAACGAGTCATTCAAAACTAATCATCCAAAACCAATCATCCAAAACCAGTCATCCAAAACCAATCATCCAAAACCAATCATCCAAAACCAATCATCCAAAACCAATCATCCAAAACCAATCATCCAAAACCAATCATCCAAAACCAATCATCCAAAACCAATCATCCAAAACCAATCATCCAAAACCAATCATCCAAAACCAATCATCCAAAACCGATCATCCAAAACCAATCATCCAAAACCAATCATCCAAAACCAATCATCCAAAACCAATCATCCAAAACCAATCATCCAAAACCAATCATCCAAAACCAATCATCCAAAACCGAATCATCCAAAACAAATCATTCACAAAATGACAAAGGAAAGTCCTCAACCTTGGCCAGATCCCTCAAGAAATCTAAGGTGGCGGTGTCCTCGGGGTAGGCCAGGGCAGCCCCTTCCTCGTTGCAGGAGGCCAGGGCGGAGGGCAGGTCGGAGTTGGCCTCGAACACCTTGAAGCACTGCCCGTTGTACAGCGTGTATGAATCAGGGCACCACGCTGTTTGGGGCACGGGCGGGGGGGGGGGGGGGCGGAGAGGGAGACAGGCAGAGAGATGGACACATACAGAAATAGACAGGCAGGTAGAGAGGGGGGGAGGGAGGGAGAGAGAGAGAGAGAGAGAGAGAGAGATTGATAAGATATAGGAAGAGAGAGAGAGAGAAAAAGAGAGAGGGAGGGAGGGAGGGAGAGAGAGAGAGAGAGAGAGAGAGAGAGAGAGAGAGAGAGAGAGAGAGAGAGAGAGAGAGAGAGAGAGAGGGGGGGGGGGGGGGAAAGAAGGTGAGGGGGGAGAAGGATGTATCGGGATGGGATAAAGAGGGGAGACAGAAAATGACGATGAGTGAATAGAGAAGAGGGAGAAAGAGGATGGGTAGGGAGAAGGGGAGAGAATGGATGAAGAAAGGAAAGTAGGAAGGGATGACGAAAATGGGATAGGAGGAGAAAAACGAAGAAGGAAGATTAATAAGGAGTAAAAGTGGGGATGGTAGGGAAAGAGAGAAAACAAACCCCGATAAGTGTGTTTCCAAACTACAAAAAATCACAAGCTCTTCAGTAATAGGGAAGCAATATATCCACTGTAACTATGAACAGTACAGATAAATCCACTGATTACGACTTTACTACCAGTTCTACAATTTTCGCAATCTACATTTTAATCTGAGAGGCGATAAGCCGCACTACAGACCAATATCCAGAAGAAATTAGTAACAACAATCTTTAGTCAAATATCAGTGACGATTTGCACGCCAATCTCCTCCTCCTCTCACCTGGCAGCATGCAGATGTAGTCGTGGTTCATCTTCGAGTCGAGGAGAGTGTAGCCGCCGCCCATCGTCACGCCCACGGTCCATGCCTTGAGCCATCTCTGGGGGCGGAAGGAGGTCAAGTCTGGATCAGGTTTTTTCTTATATTTACACTCACACACACACACACACACACACACACACACAATGTATGTATATATATATATATATATATATATATATATATATATATATATATATATATATATATATATATAATCTATATATGTACATGCGTGTAAATCAGTACATATATATGTATAAATGTGGATTTCCTATAAGGACACCACTGTTTAAAACAAAAGACCCTCTCTGGCCTACAGCACAAGTTATCATGGGTACCTCCTTAGTCCAAGCAGTGGTACCAGTTGAACGTCACTGTTACACGACGCTGCCAGATGAATTCCATCCTTACGACACACACACTTGTCATAGCGTGGGTTTCAGGATCTATCCCAAGATGCTTCCCTCGGCAAAACTACCAAGGAAGCCACAACGCCAACAAGGCCAGGGTTCTCGAAAAGAAGCTTTCAGACACCCTGGAAATCAGGCTGTAAAGAAGAGGCTAGCCATCTGAGAGACACGATCCATGCCTCAGCTCTTTCTCTTTTTGGCAATAAGCAGGGGGGGAGGCATCATGGGTATGAGACAAATGCCATCAAGCTCAACACTGTAACTGACGAAAAGCATACTGCACTGTTAAAATCTAAGCAGTAGCCACCACCTCAAGCTCTCAAAGTGCAGTACACAGCAAGAAGATATGCAAACCGTTATTGCATTCAGCTCTGAGAAAAATATTCAGTTAGCAGCTGACACAGAAAATATCAGAGAGGTCTACGATAGAACCAAGGCCAC